TGTGTGTGTGTGTGTGTGTGTGTGTGTGTGTGTGTGTGTGTGTGTGTCAGCTCCTCACATTGAGGACCTGGTTCTGCTGCCCACTCCTGTCCTGCGTCTGCTCAACCTGATCGATGACAGCCATCTGCACAATGAGGAAGAGTATGAAGGTACAACACTCTTTAAATTATGAAATGACTTCCTGATTTCCTGTTTCTTTCGGTAAAAGTAAGTCAAAATGTCTGTCGTTGTTTCTCCCAGACATCCTGGAGGACATGAAAGAGGAGTGCCAGAAGTATGGCTCAGTGGTTTCTCTGCTCATCCCCAAGGAGAACCCTGGGAAAGGACAGGTTAGATATAACAGCAATCTTCACAAGTGTTTCAACTAAGCTAAAAATGTAAGCAGTTATAGGAAATTCTCAGAGTCAACAATAACATTTACAGTTATTATTGTGCTATGAAGTAAGAAAGAAAGAAGGCAATATTCTCTTTATTATATTTTTTGAATATAAAGACACAGATGATTTTAGTAGTTTTATTCTGTACAGCTACTGTCTGTCCTTTTAATTTGAACTCATTTCCCCCGATGTCCACTGGGTGCAGCTGCACGGCGCTCCTCTCTGGTGCAGGAGATGAACTACTTGTGATTGTATATCAATGCTTGTATTTAACAACAATTGGGTAACAAGCGTACCTATTTGAACCCAAACCTTTTCCTAAACCTAACCGAGTAAGGAGTAAGCATAAAAACGAAGAATACCGAACAAAGTTTTATTTTGAAAAGACGCTGTATGCAGGCAACAAGCGGAAACTGTATTACTTCCGTGAAGTTTATTTTGAAACGCTGCATCCCTGATGCTTCCAAAAAAGCGTAGGGCCACTGTACAAGCCGTTGTTATCTGACGAGTTGGGAGTGAGAATGAGTTGACTACACACAAAAAAAAAACATTATAATAAAGCATGGCTGCTGCTTGAAAAAGTGGCGCCTCTGAAACCCTTTCAGCGGACTTTGATCCGCAACGAAAGCCATGGCGGGACCAGAGTGTGACGGGGGGCCGCATCCAGTGGACATCCGGGGTTACGCACACGCTCATGTCATTCACGCACTAACCCATCAACATGTCCTGTGTGTGGCCATCAGGTGTTTGTGGAGTATGCCAACTCCAGCGACTCCAAAGAGGCTCAGAGGCTGCTGACAGGCCGCACCTTTGACGGGAAGTTTGTTGTGGCCACCTTCTACCCTCTCAGCGCCTACAAAAGAGGTTACTTGTACCAGACTGTGCAGTGAAAGTCCCTAAAGCTCAATTTACACCTCTGCACTTGTTTGCAGGAAAGAACACAACCGTATAGCCCACCACAGGGTCCATTTCCTCCCTTGGTGGCTAAGAGTTCTGCATGTCATTCATGTGTTTTCATACCGTGAATCTGTTTTTCCTGCAGAGTGTAAATTGAACTCCGCTGTCATTTCTGCTGCCTCCAGTCCGCACTACTCTTTAACTGTGCCAGAGGTCTGTGGTCTGGGTACAGCGGTTCCTGCTCGAGCTTCCGTTTCACTCTCATTCATTCATAGAAATGACCACACTGAAAGAATGAGGAATGAATGAATGAATCACAATAATAAGGACGAGTGAAATCTGATCTGGATGGACGGCGCGAAAGCCGTTATCAAATGAAGCGTTACGTTTGGGAGTCTGTAGAGTGTTAGAGAGACACTTGAGTCAGGTATGTGATGAGAGACGTGTAGCACAATGTTTGGGAGTTTCTTGTCGGTCAAACACATCCTGTTAAATTAATGACAATTATCATTTGTTTTGTTGAGCATTTAAATTGAGGTAACGGAGTGGTACAAGGGCATACACAGTTGCCCTCTGCTGGCTCTTCAGGCAGTCATCAGGGAGAAATGGTTTGGAGTGACCCACCAGCTGGTAGTCTTCACCCACTCACCCACCCTCTGCCAGTATCTGAGCAAGCCGAGGGCCCCTGGAGCCCTGTCCTGTAGCCTTGAAGCTTTCTTTTTATAGGAGTACATACTCGGAGGATATTTTTATCATCAGTTGATTGTGCGCCCGTTTATGACAACACACAGTGAGTTCTGTGTTTTGACTGCAACACTTAAAAGGGCACAGGATCAATTACATGTTATTGACTACATGCGGAAAATGATCAGAGATACTTCCTGCTTGAGTGGTAAGAAAACGACCGACATATTGATACAATCTGAATTGTTAAGCACGAACAGAATTTGCAGAATCGTTAGATGTTCTCTAACTCATAAAGCTTTAGTACGCTTTAATTTCACCTTGTGTGATTGGCATTATCGTGTCCAGAGTTCTATAGAGCGACGGTAGCCAGTGTACACGAAAGGAGGAGTTTTAATAAGCCACTGTGTGTAACATTTGTAGCGTCATTCTAATATAGTCTGTAGAAAATGGAGACACTCCTGGTGGAAATTGGTGCAATTTATGTGTTGCTTTTGCCCAAGTTGGACATTTTCAAATCCTACACATAGTGGCTGTAGCACTATGCAACGTGAAGAGATATTGTGCGGTGGCTGTTGTACTGAGTAGACCGATAAAGTGTAATCTTCAAGTCATATCTTCCATCTTTCATTTAGTTTGCGCTCAAACCAGTGGATTGATGGGTGGACCGCAAGCCCTCTTGGGAAATAGGTCTGTTACCCACAATGCAGGGCACAGTATCGTTTCATACTTGTAGCTAGATGCATAACAAAGTATGTGAGGGTTATGAATCAATAAGTGTTGTAAAATGTGCTGTCATGAAACAGAGATTTCTTTGAACCAACAAAGTAATATAAAGTTGTTGTATTATTATATCGGGGCGGTAGGACAGTTTTATATAGAAGTGTGATTATGTTGCAAAGCAGCGACAACAAGGGTCTTTTTGCAGTAGAAAGTACTTTTTGTTGAACCCGAAACCAGAAAGTTTTGTTCTCTTGGTTCCACCTTTAAATACCAGTTGATAGCCAGTACCCATCGAGCCCACTGTGTCACACTGAAACGTTCGATGATTTCTACATTCACGCTAGCTAACTAACCAAAATGCTGCTATAACACCAGGTGGTGCTACACCTGCATGCGTCTATCCCTCGAGTAGCCCAAGATGCAGACGCCTTAGAGAATAATCCCCATCCAGCAGCTACAGTCATCTCTTTAGGCTTCTTCATCAAGCTGGCCGCCTCTCATTCCTCACTGCACTCTTGTTAAAGCCGGACTAAGTGACTTTTACTGAACAGCGGCCGCTTCAACTACCAGTGACAAAGACGGTGTTTTGCTAATGCTGGTGTTAGCTACAGCAAGTGCTAAACTGATGCTATGAGCTAAATGCTAACAATGCTGCACTACGGATTAGCTTTGCATTTTGCAGCACTGTTTACCATTTAGCAAACAGGCTAAGTCATTGTAACGGTCGCACAAGTGGAGATGCGTCATAAATTGACACAGTAGTAGTAATAATAATAATAATAATAATAATGATTTAAAACTATACAAAATGCTTTAACAGCAAAGCAAAGTTAAGACACAACGCAATACAAACTAAGGTCAAATTTAAAGCCCCGATAAAACAGCACATTAGATGAAACCAATACAATAACTACAAATAAAAAGGAAATGGAATAAGAGCAAAGGAAACATCAAAATAAGCAAATTAAAAGACGAGCAAGTCTGTAGCAGCAAAACCTCTGGTGCACTGACTTGAGGAAGGCTGTGTGTTATTGCTCATTTGTAAGCAAAAGAACGAGTTATTCCTTCTCTAGAACTTCAACAGTCTTGCTTTACAGTCTGGTGTGTGAAGAACTGCAGCTGGTTCATGTTGTAGAGCACAAATAAACATCTGTCTCACATAGGTAATGTGATTCGAGTATGTGAGAGAAACTTGATGTTCATATAAAATAAGACGATATTTAAAGCTTTATGGACATATAAATCTTCCTCTGTCTCTGAGACCTATTTCATAATAATAATGTGTTGTTCCTTCCCCTCTAAGAAAATATATTCAAACTGTAACAAAAAAAATATATATAAGAACATATAGTTGGGGGGTAAAGCATCTCAAGTACTAAAAACAAACGTATTTTTCTACCACCGTTATCTGTACGTGCCTAAAATGTGAATTCCAAAGTTTCCACTCGAGAGCGTCGCTGGCCTAAAAGCTCGATTTGAAACTCCAACTACTTGACTATTCAGCACTTTTAAATCAGCAATCTGTGGTGCGTCAGCGAGATGGTGAGTGTTGTCAGTGACTTGTCACCACCCAGATAACTATACCAAGTTAAAAACTCATTGTCTTCCACAGTTTGTCACCGACCTGGTGCACAAAATTGATCTTTGGCAATGTCGAGATATTCCTTTGAAGGCATTTGAAATTAGATTTTGTCGTTGATTTTCATTGATGATATTTAGCTCCATTATTATCTTCTGTGTGTATGATTCTGCTGCTCACCTCTGACATAACATATGATAGTGTCAGTACTTTTCTGCCAAATGTTTACCGACTAGGTCCCTGCAAGACTAAACTCCCCACAGGTTTACTTTACGTTATCAAATAGTAAGTACGGACCTTCATCTCCAGAGCTCAGCCCTGCCTTGTTCCCGTTCACGTAAAAAGCTTCTGGGGGTCGTCTCTCTACTCGTCAATAAAAGCTTCACCCCTTTTGGAGAGAAGACCACTGAACCACTGCAGCTGATAACACAGAGAAGCACAGAGGCGCGACGTTCAGGGATGACTTCTAAAAGACAGGATATGAGTTGTATGTTATGCACCAGACTTTATTTTTCATGAATCCACTATTTAAAGCCACACTGCCATTGTTTAATGCACTGCAACCTGATCAGCTTGTAACGGGTTCATTCACATCTTGTGTCACATACCGCCGGATGCTACTGATTCTGAATCAGGTGACAGTACAAGTGTGTATGTTGACTGTAGCTTATTAGTTGTATTTTGGGTTTTTATTGTTTGTAGCACTTCATCACTATGACATTATTTCTTCACTCCTGGTGTGTGTGAGTGAGTGTGTGAGTGAGATATTAACACACTTAATCGTTCCAGATTCAGTGTATTCTATGCAGGTGAAACTGTTCTCCCTTCTAATGTGATGTTAAAGGACTTTTCTCTCGTGTCTCTCTCCGTCACGGTGACGCTGTGTGCACTTAGTTAATGCTCACTGTTCCAGTTAACCATTGAGAGACGTGAACACAATCAGACCTGATCTCAACATTCAAGTCAAGCAGCTTTGTGAGATTGTCAGACATGTTTTCTATCCATTGGGGACAATGTGCAAGCTAAGGCTCGATTAATCACTTCATTGTTTTTGATTAATTACTAGAATAAAGTTGAAAAATACGACTCGTTTTGTCCAATAGTCGCAACATACTGATCTAAAACTGGTTTTCAAACTGAGGGGAACTGGAGACTTCAAGGGATGCATAGGGAGAGACGTGAGCCTCAATTTGCGTGACAAATTCTACTCCTCCTCTGAATCATTACTAAAATCTTGACATCCATCAAATAATGTCCATCACAAATAAACGTCCCTAAATGCACTAAGAAATCTTAGCCAAAAAGACGCTCCTTATAACTTAGAATCCCGATGTTTGAAAGTTTACTTCAGTCTCACAGTTATTCAGTCATAGCTGTATCTGTTGGTACATTGCAAACAGGAACTGCAGATCGCTAATTCAACATACTTGTAATAGTGAATATTTGCCAAATTTGTGAAAAAATAGTTTTTTAGCACAGTTAAATCATTTTGCCCATAAAAAAATGTCACTTCCTGTTCGAGCGTGATAATCATGAGGGTGACGGGCCGCAGTTGTCTCCGCTTTGAAAACCTCTGAAGTCTGATATTAAAATACATCAATGTATTACTAAGATTGTTGACAATATACTGTATGTTCTATTGATTGCCTTATCAGTTAACCAACTGTTGCAGCACTAATAAAGTTATTCACGTTCTCACCAATATCACAATAACACGAGAAGAAAATAACATTGGCACAAGACTGTTTCCATGAATCTTATTGCTAGCTAATATATGCTAAAACAGAGCGTAGCTTCAAACACGTTGATGCTCGAGCTCCCTTGTTGATATCACACTCCAGCTGATTCATCATGGTCTGTAATGAGGCCCTGCATGGCAGTGTTGTTTTCACTACAGTACTGATGGTGAGCACACGGTGTCGTCAGAGGTGAACTGATGGAGAACACTCTGATCCCCTTTAGAGAGCTCTGTCTCACTTGTTGACGGATCCCGAGCCTTCCAGTTATTACCTTATTACTATTATTAGTACTTCCTCGTCCAGCTTTTAATGCTGTATTATTTTGTATTAATAATACCTCTCTTCCCATTGGTTTGAATTCAATTCTGCCTTTTGTGTGCGGACACTAAAAGCAAATCTGCACTCACAGGACATGAGGGCGTAACCCAGACAGGCTTCTGCAAATGCAGCGATGTGTAGTTGTCTTTTCGTTGCATTACAGGATTTCTTGGTGTTTACGTCTTAACATTTCAAACACTTCCTTCTCGCTTCTATTCGTGCTCGCCAATGAGCAGCTTTAAATCAGTTTATCTTCCATTTTCTGCCATCTAAGAAGACATTTTTGTTCTTTTCGTCTTCGCTAACAGAGATTCAGGGTTGTGCTTTAATTTCATTGCACCTGACCTCTAGGCCAGACTTTGATACGCTCTCAACACATCTGTGCATTAGTGTGTGTGTTTGTGTGTCACGACCCGGCTCAAAAAGTCGTAACATGAGGGAGACAAGACGAGTTAAAAGTAATAAATAGATGTTTATTTAAAGTACAAACTAACTAAACTGAACAAACAACCAGCCAGGTCCTCCAAACAGGAGGCTGAGAGGGACTGCGCAGCGAGGCCCAGCCACAGAAGAGGGGCAGCCTTTATAGCTGGGACCAACCCAACTCAGGTGTCGCCCATCAGTGGCCGATTAACATCCTGGAAGACAACCTGAGAGGAAACAGACAGACCCCTGGTGGAAGGGAGGGGTTGTGTGTGTGTGTGTGTGTGTGTGTGTGTGTGTGTGTGTGTGTGTGTGTGTGTGTGTGTGTGTGTGCAG